TTAGAGGTCGTTGGGGTTGGTCAGAGAAACAGCTGACAGTTTATCGAGTGTTTATTTGAATTTACATATTGTATGTGTGGAGTTTCCGATGAAGACGACTAAATCTAGTGATGGACTCATTTGAAGCTTCAGGCTGAGCCTAAGGATCGGAACGTGGACTTTACAGACGGATGGAAACTTTAGTGATTCAACATAAACAGCAGTTGGGTCTAAACCATTCCTGCCATGTTTGTTCAGTGTTTACGTTTCTGTAGACGTCATTTTAGAAACGTGTTCAAATGAAGTTTAACATGTAAAACATTTCTTTAGATTATAAATAAAAGACAGTGTTTCCAGTTTTTAAATGAAAAGGTTACATTTGAAAACATTTCTCAGTTTTTTTGAAAAATCTTTTTATTTTTGTTCAGTTTTGATATTTTTCTGTTTAAACGTTTATTTCTGTCGCTCTTTCCTCCGGCAGCGATGAGTCACCTGAACGGGCAGCGTCTCCATGGCAACGTGATCCGGGTGACGCTGTCCAAACACCCGGTGGTGCAGCTGCCTCGCGGGGGGGCGGGGCAAGAGGAGCAGACGCTGACTCGGGACTTTTCAGGCTCCGCCCTCCACCGCTTCAAAAAGCCCGGATCCAAAAACTTCAACAACATCTTCCCTCCGTCGGCGACGCTGCACCTGTCCAACATCCCGTAATGCTCGCCGCTCGCTGCACGTTCCACCTCACAGTCCGCCCTCGCCGACTGGACCGGCTTCACCGTTAATGTCTTTCTCATTCTTGTGTCTTCGTCTCTCAGCTCCTCGGTCAGTGAGGAGGTGCTGAAGGATCTGTTCTCCTCCAGTGGATTTACAGTAAAAGCCTTCAAGTTTTTCCAGTAAGTAAAACACAAAACCTCAACAGGTGTCTCATGGTCACAGCAGGAAAACACAACACTGTGAAACTGAATTAGTGCTGAGCAGAAGTCTACATCCGCCGTATAAAAGACATAAAACCTTCTCTTTCATGCTGTCTGACATTAAATCAGACTGAACGTTTCCTGTTTCAGGTCAGTCAGGATCACCAACATTATTTCTATTTGCCAGAACAATGAGAGAGAGTCAGAAGTTCACCTACACTCAGATCACTTCAGACTATGTGGGAACGCCCAGATGATGAAGTTTCTGTTTTATACTACTTACCGGGCCGCTGCCAGAGCTCACCCGGTTGAGCTGGCGTCCCATGTTCAGGGCTGAAGTCCCCGACGCGGAGGTCGTGGGTTCGAGTCCGGCTCATGACCCTTCGCTGCAGGTCTTCCCCCGTTCTTCTCCCCCACTTTCCTGTCCCTCTCTCCGTCTGTCCTCGCTAACGAAGCCATTAAAAGGCCCAAAAACTACTTATTAACATGCATCGACTTATAAAAAAAATAGAAATTGTCTCATGAAAAGTATTTTCTGTTCCACCTTTTAAACTATTTCTTTTTTTAAAAATTCATTTTACTTTTTTGAATAAAAATCAAATAATGTTTTATTTTATTTTCAATGTTAAAACTTTTTGATTTAAAAACTAAAACTTTGTGTTGATGTTAAACATTAACATCCACTTCCTGTTTTGCAAGTTTAACTCTGAGAGCCAACATGGCCGCCTCAGGTGTTTGATGATGTCGCTGTGATGTCACAGGAAGGACAGGAAGATGGCGCTGATGCAGCTGGCGTCGGTGGAGGAGGCCATCGAGGCGCTGATCGTGCTGCACGACCACCAGCTGGACCACAACCAGCACCTCCGGGTCTCCTTCTCCAAGTCCACCATCTGACCTCTGACCTCAGCGGCCCACCAGCCAATCAGATTTCAGGGCTTCTGATTGGCCCATGGAGAGGGACAGACAGACCAATGGGAGCGCCCCAACACACCTATGATCTCTCTGTGCCTACAAACAGCCTGACATCACGGGGGCGGGTGATGTCACTAGCAGGGGTAGTCGCCACGGTTACAGAGCACATTCCTGAGCAGCAGAGCATTGTGGGTAACGGAGTCCACCGAGGAGCCGACGTGAGTCCAACCTTTAGTGTGTAAATGTCAGATTAATGTGATGCAGAAAACCAATCAGGACCAGTTTGTTTTACTGACGCTCAGCCTGCCTTCTGTCAGAAGAAGCCGCTGCTCCTCATCTCCTCGCCAGAGACACACCAAACGGTTTCTTCTGCAAAGTTTTAACAGATTTGCTTGATTTAAAATTGGTTCTATTTGTTCTTGTTTCAGTTTTAAACGTTCTTCCTGTTTACTGTGTTGGTTTTCACAAACTCCCACGTTGTTATTTTGGATGTTCAGCCGCTCCCTGCTCACGCTCCCACCTGATCAGGTGGACCTATCATCATCATCATCATCATCATTATTACTGTTTTAGGATCTAGCTGGCTGCAGTCTCAGCCTCCTTCTGTGCCTTATTTTTCTGAATTTTTCTGCTGGGTTTTTGATTTTTTTACCGGTGTTCAGGTGCCGTGTCGGTGGCGGGTCGTGTTCATCTGTCTTTGGGTTGTTTTGTAGAAGTTTTTCACTCGGTTACACATGTTGTTTCTGTCATACGTCGTGTTGTTGGTGTACATTCTGGGAGGGTTTTTTAATCATGAATGTATTTATATCGTACAACATGTAACAGGTAAAGCTTTCGACGTCCCGCCCACCTGTCGTACCTGTGAGTGTGTGTATTTATATGTGTGTATATACAAATATATACGTGTGTGTTAAGCTGAGCTGTGATTGGTTGAGCTTCAAACTGTCCCACCTTCTTGGTTTCTATAAAAAATATTTAATTCAGTTCAACTCATGTTTTTTTTTATGATTTTCTCTGTTAAAAGTCGAGCTGATGTGTTTACGTTCATTTTCTGTTCAGAGTTTTGATAGATTTTTTGTTAAAACAGGAAAAAAGCCACAAAAAACAGGAGCTGCCGATTTCCAGTTTGCCTTCCGTCCTCCGACCGGAGCGCGTTCACTTGGTTTACTGGGATGTTTGTTGCCATGAAACAGCCTCAAATCAGAAACAAACCCAGCTCGAGACTTTTTATTTTACGGTTTATCCAACAAACACATTCAGTTCCAGTTTTCATTGTTTAGTTTATTTTTGCAGCTGGAAAGCTGTTTGTAACTCCAAATATCTGTTAAAACTTATTAAAGCAGAAAGTTGAGATTTTAAAAAAAGGAGTGAAGTCAAACCAAAGTCTGTGTGCCTTTCGATTGGACCAACTCCCGTTACCGCAACATTCCTGTTTGAGCGGCTTCCAGACGGTTTTCTACGTGTTTAAAGTCACGACTCGTGTTTGTGCTGTGATCTGCTGCAAACACGGTTTTTGTGTTTTCATGTCAACACACGTTAAAAAAATTGTTTCACATGAAGTTTTTAACTGAGTTCAGTTTCTGTTCAGACCTGATGTGACAGCACCTTCCATCCTCATGTAGCCCCGCCCTGCAAACAGCTAGCCCCGCCTCCCGCATCAGACCACACCCCCTGTAGTGAGTAATCAAAACCATAGACTGTATAAAGATGGACGTAGCAACCGGCCCTGAAAAATGAAGCCAACCCGGAAGTGTCAGAAACCTNAACACGATGCAGAGCCTTGTGTTCAGTTTGTGAGTAAAACCTGAGGCTCTGGTCACCAACACGTCGTCCTGGTGTCGTCAGCGTCCTGAACTCTGTAGAGTTTACCTGTCAGTGATCTCATGGTAGTTTATCATAGTGATTAGTTCTAAACTACAGCATATATGTGACATAAAGCTTCTTCATTTGTTGTGGTTTTCTCCTCTAAGAACAGAAAAACTCAATAAAAACATACCGATGAGAGAGCCATTACGGTACTGTGGATGAAGAAGTCCATATCTGGTGTGACAGACAGTGATGTCAGTGGTGCTGTTGTGTTTCAGTCTCTGGACGGTCAGAACATCTACAACGGCTGCTGCACGCTGAGGATCGACTTCTCCAAACTGAGCGCGCTCAACGTCAAGTACAACAACGACAAGAGCCGCGACTTCACCAGAGCCGACCTGCCGACCGGCGAGCTGGAGCCGGCCGCCGCCTTCGGTAGGTGCCGACGCTGATTAATGTCAGTTAGTGAATCAGAGCTCGTTAAAGGCGGAGCTCATGACCCACCTGTGTGTTTCAGGTGTAGCCCTGCCTCCGTATGGAGCAGCAGCGTTCCCGCCCAGCTTCCAGCATCACACAGGTGAGGCACAGACACAGAAGAACCCTGACAGCTGCTGTTCTTCCTCAGCGCTGTTCCATGTTGAGCAAACCCGTAGAGCTTCTGCTCTATCTCGTGCTAAAGCCTCCTGGGTGTGTTGCTTCTCAGGTCTGTCCATGGCGGCGGTGCCCAGCTCGCTGGTGTCACCTCCTCGCGTCTCGCTGCAGGTGGCGCCCCCTGCTGTCCACTCGGTGCTGCTGGTGTCCAACCTGAACCCAGAGGTTAGACGTCGCTCATACTGTCACACAGCTAGCGGCCAATCAGAGCGCAGCACTCTGAGCTAACTTTATTGACACTGTTTGTGTTTGCAGAGCGTCTCACCTCACTGCCTCTTCATCCTGTTCGGTAAGAAGGAATCACACAGAGCGCCGCTGCTCCTCCAGATGTCTGTCTGTCTGTCTGTCTGGTTGGAGGCTGGTGGTTGATCCTCTTACATCTTGTGTGTGTTCAGGTGTTTACGGCGACGTTCAGAGGGTGAAGATCCTCTTCAATAAGAAGGAAAACGCTCTGGTTCAGATGAGCGACGCCACTCAGGCTCAACTCGGTCTGGAGCACATTTACTCTGCTCTTTATTGATAGTTGTTGCAGCCGCACTAAAGGACTTGAGCAGAAGCTGTAAAACTGGTTTGAGTCTTCCTTCCTTCTCTTCAACCGGTTCCTCAGGCGCTGACACATGCTTCACTTCTTCCTTTAGCGTGAACTAATCCTGTTGTCTTCTGTGTTCGCGCTGCAGCAGCCTTTGANGAAGTGTCAGAAACCTGCAGCATCACTACGTCCACTAGCTGCTGGTCCACAAAGCCCTGGCTCCCATAGACTGGAACTGGAAAAGAAGTGATCACAGATCATGAAATACTGCATTCCTACAGCTCAGGATTTTGTTCTTATTAGTTTTCATGGTCAAATCCAGAGATCAGGTGGTCAATCTGAAAATAAATCAGGACTGAATTTTTTTAAAATTGTCAACATGTTGCGGGCAAGGGGCGTGGCTGGCTTGATTGACAGTCGGCAGCGACCATACAGAGGAAGCGAGCAGAAGGCGGTAAAATGTGGGCGGGGCAGAGGGCCCGCCTCTCAATCCGTCTGACCAATCGCTGCTCCTATGGCTCCGCCCCCCTCCCACGATTTTTGCATCACTGGCTCCAAAAATCCAAGATGTCAACCAGGAAGTAGCAAAACCCTGGCTTCATGTTCTCAGTGCAGAAACCAACGGGTGACGTCATGGTAGCTACGTCCATCTGTTATACAGTCTGTGATCAAAACCAAAGAACTCTAGCTCATTAGAGACACTTCCAGCTCCGGAGCTCCGCCCACTCTGGACGTCCCAGCATGTGTTTCATCGGTGAGCCGCGGTTTGTCACAGATAAAGTTTGTGAGTTAGACAATGTGCAGGAGCCATGAAATGCTTTGTCCGAGATGCCATTAACTACACAAGAAACGTTTTATTTTTTATTATTTTGTTTATTAAAACCTGGATCCGACATGTCCACAGACGTTAAACTGGAAACATGGAGACTCCACATACTGGAGATATTTAACTAGTTTGTGTTATATACAGACTCTGGTTTGAGTAAACAGTTTATTTTTCTAAGTGAGACGTGTAAAATGAAGCCATTTTGTTAAAATGTCATGATTTCAACCTTAGATTTGATCTGTTTTCCCCACAACAAGCTGCACGACTAGTTTAAGGACGGTCAGAAAGTCCAAAATATTTTTACAGTTTGCAGCTGATAGATGGTGTAATTTAGCTTCTTCTTTTTTTTGTTTTTAAAGATACCGTGCTCCAGAGGGCTAACAAATCAAAAGGACAGTCATAATACTTTCAGGACAAACACTGTCATGAATCTGATGTATGGCAGATGCTGCTGGAGACAGACGAAGACGAAGCAGCACAGCGGTGGATGCTACGTAGCACACCAGCGCCACAGCCACTCGCCAAACAGGAATTTAACATAAAATCAGTCGAACAGCTTCTTCAGTGAACGTTTTCTGGTTTCTTTCCTCCTCTATCAGTAAGCTGAACATCTTTGGACTAAACGAGATGTTTGAGGAAACTCTGATCCACGTTTTCACCTTTTTCTGACGTCTGATGAAGTCATCCAGAAAACACTCACAGCCACAGTTTCAGCTTCAGTTAGAAATAAAACCGCCTCTGAACCTCGACAGAACACAGCGGCTGACGTTAGCTTACGTTTTAACAGGTAGCAGCCGGCCGCAGGAAGCTAATGTTTGCTAACATCAAACGCTAGCTTGGCCACTAACAAACATGAGGTAGCTTTAGCTAACATTAGCGAGCTTTAGTGACTGTTAGCTCGTATCGGTGGACGAGCAGCAGCTGTCTGATTCTCATCTCTTTCAACAAAAGGTCAAACATTTGTCTAAACTGAGTTTGTTGTCAACATGTGAAACTTCTCGTGATGTGTGAAGACATGAAAACATATTTTAAATTATTAAACAAATTATGGCTCCTGTTCAGATTCTTGTTTTACGGTTTAATTTTATTTTAACTGCATAAAACTGACAAATTACTTTTTCTTCCACATGAATTGACGTCTGAATTGTTTTCTACCTGAATGTATTTAGCGAATGTAAAGTAGTCGTGGTGCATTGTGGGAGCGGGAGGGGGGAGGGGGGTTGTTCTGTGCTCGACTCAGAAACTAATAAAGTTTGTTGAGTTTTTATTTATTCTGAAAGTGACAGAAAGTTGTAGCATGAATCACTGAATAAATAAAGAAATCTGACAACGATCGCTGTGCTTTACTTCCACAAGCTCCGCCCACCGCATGTCCTCCCAGCCAATCACAGAGCTCCCAACAAACCACTCCCACACATTGAAGTTCAGCTTTACAAGGATAAAACTTTATTGTTCCTGTGTTGACACAATCCTCAACTGTGATTGGTCGGATTGCGGACTACAGCTGATCATGTCTTTAAAAAAAAACATCGACAATAAACAAATAAGAATCCTACTAATCCGATTGGACGATGACGGGGGCTCGTCCGACAGCCAGCTGATGTCATCAACCAAACCCCGAGTGGCTACGCTAACAGCTAACAGTGAAGCAAAACAGCTTTATGAAACCTGTGATCACACACACACAGAGACACACACACACACACACACACACACACACACACACACACACACACAGTGTTCAGACTGCAGAAATGTCGAGTTGTGTTTTTGGTCCCGTGTTTGATATTCGGTGAAATGTTTCGACCGTTTTGCGTCAGAATACTGGATTAAAAACATTCTGATCAACCAACATTCTCTGCTCTCATTGGCCAGGTGTGTTTTCTTCTTCCTCGTTCTCCGTGGCGACTTCGATCAGTTTTACTTTGAGCAGTGTTCAGTGAAGAACAAACACAGAGATGGTTTTCTGACTAGGATTCTGAATCACAGCTCAGATCCTGGAGACGTTCGCGGTCCTCTGACTCGTTACTCGTTCCACTTCTACGACTACAGATGGGACTTTGTGTTCCTGTAAAGGAGTTCTGGATAAAACGACTGCTGACCCGACAAAGATGCCGGTTTAGTATTTATAATGTTTGTCAGACGTTTGAATCACTGGATCTTGTAATTCAGACTTCGTATTTCATCACAAGCTGCCTTTCTGTCTCAGTTCGTCATCGAATAACGAGATAATTATGAAAAACTGGCTCCACTTCACGGACGCTGTTCCCCGGCTGCTCAGAACCAGGTCGGTGTTCTCCTACAGACGCTTTGTCCTGATCGTCTCCAGCCTCTTCATTGAAGAAGAAACGAGCTTCTGTCCAATCACACAGCTCCACACTTTGACTCCTTTTGCTCATGTTTTTTGGTCAAATGTCAGCAAAAAGTTATTTGTAGTTTGTTTTTTTCTGTGTTGGCAGAAACAATGGAAGCAAACGAGAGCTGAGAATTTTATTTCAACCACAAATGTTTTACTTTGAAACTGATTCACCAGTCAGCTGAGATCTGATCAAACCCTCTGTCTTTAGTTCATTCCTTATTTTGTCCTTTTTGTCCAAAACCCCAAACTGGCACATGTGACACCTACGAGAACATGTTTTACAGAATAATGATTCTCAAAAACACGTTCTGGTTCAAATGTGACGCTTTTTCTGATGCAGTTTATTTAAAGAACAAAAAGATTTCAGAACAGTTTTCAGGTTTCTGCTCCGAATGAACCAACGCAACCATCGGACAACTGGCAGGGGGCGCCAGCGCTGTCCATCGGACAACCGGCAGGGGGCGCCAGCGCTGTCCATCGGACAACCGGCAGGGGGCGCCAGCGCTGCCGTCAGTCTGTTAAACCGCTGCAGGAGGAGCAACCACATCTTTCAGAGAGCAACCACGAGCTGTGTTCGACATCCTGACGTTCGTCCTCCCACCCGGCTCCTCCCACCCGGCTCCTCCCACTCGGCTCCTCCCACCCGGCTCCTCCCACCCGGCTCCTCCCACTCGGCTCCTCCCACCCGGCTCCTCCCACCCGGCTCCTCCCACTCGGCTCCTCCCACTCGGCTCCTCCCACCCGGCCGCCGCCGGAGGAGCAAACGGTTCAGTGCAGTCGATTCTTTCGTCCTCCACATTCAGGTCATCGACTCGTCTCTTCGTTTACGTATTTACACACGACGATGTGAGTGAAAGCTGCAGGTGACAGGTGGAATGTGGGCGGAGCTAAAGCCACCTGTCACACCAGGACTCATGGGGTTTCATGTGTGAAACGTTCTGATGAGAGTCAAAGTAAATCATTTGCTGGTTTTCAGTCTGATTTGCTTCCATACAAAACTTTATGAAACACGAAGCCAAAACCAAAATGGTTTCATTCAGCCAATCAGGTGGGAGAGTTTGTGCTTGTTCTCCGCCCCGATTGGCTGATTGTCTTCCTCTGTTTTTCTGCTCTGATCAAAGATCAGATAATTCAGTGCGATGCGACACTCGTCTTTTTTTTTCCTTCCCACGCTGCCCTCATTGGCTTGTTCTGGCATCTTTTACGTTTAGCACCAAAAGAAACATAAATAGTTAAAAACACACACACGCCCGCACACACACCTACATACACACACACACACACACACACACACTTACTTCAGTTTCGTCTCATATAAAACAAACATCAGTCTCTGGCCCCTCCCCTCTGCCGTGTGGAGGAGGAGGAGCCTGTTGCCGTGGTAACTAGACGTCCAGGATTTCCTCGGCGGTGCCGCCGCAGCGCAGCCGGTACCGTCCAGTTCTCCAGCTGATGGTCGGGTCCCACAGAGCCGACAGGAAGATCTGGACCGCCATCGACTCCCGGATGAACCAGGCGACGGCGAAGTCGAGCTTGGAGAAGCAGAGCGGCCCGCCCTGCGATGACATCACCGATCAATAATCACACCGGTCAGACTTTAGGTTTCACGTAGTTCTGGGTTTTTCATATGCAGCTATTCTTTAGCCAGAGTTCTTTAAAACTGTGTCCATCGATCGATTCCTCTTTAAAAACATTTGACTCTTTATTTAATTATTAAATGAAACTTGTAAATTCTTTAAACTTTTCAGGAAGTTCTGTTATTTCCTTTTTTTATGAGTCAAAGCTGTAAAAACCGCTTTAGTTTTACATCCTGAATATTACGGTCGAACTTCAATTTAACTTTACATTTATTTATTTTTTAATAATTTTGACAGAAACCCTAAAACCTGTTGAGCCACAGTCATTTATTTCACTTTTTCTCATATTTATCAACTATTTGGTTCTTTTTCTGTTTGGAGTTTTTGTCGTAATTTTAATTTAGCTTTTTAATCATTTAAAAAAAATTTTGCTGATGTAAAGCCAAAGCAGCAAGAAACTAATTTAAATGGACGTTTGACAGAACTGTGGCTGAGCAGGAACATGAAAGGTGAGCGTGCTGAGGTCAGAACCTGAACTCCAGTCAGCTGGACGTAGTCGCACAGGAACCAGGCCAGACAGTGACACATGAAGAACACCATCATGTCCCACCTGCGACAGAAACACAACCAGAACACACAGGCTGGTGAGTGTTGTCAGTTTGGGGATCAATAAAGGTTTGTAAAAGCCCCGCCCAGCGGTGACGTCACGGCGGCGCACCTGAACACGTGGTGAGCCGCCCAGCCGATGATGAGGCTGGCGAGGAAGCACTCGGAGACGGGCTCCAGCACGGTGCCCGGCAGCATGTTGATCCGCAGCTTCGTCCACCTGAAAACAAACTTTATTAACAGCTGCTGCTCCGGACGACACAAACGCGACTTTAACAGCTTCAACAGACACAAAGAGTTTAGAGAGTGATCAGTGACAGGACCCCCAGAAATCAATATTCAACAATCGATTTACTTTTCAGGCTGCTTCCAGCTGAACTATGAGGACGAATAAACGGTTTGAATATTTTCCGTTTTGAACAGTCGGCTGCACGCAGCAGGAAACGCAACGTGTTGTTGGTGGTGGTTCTTTCATTAATTAAAAAATGAGCAGAACAATAAAGTGCTGCAGCTGTCAGAGCAACCTGTTGTGTGATTATCACACAACAGCTGGTACAAGCAGAGGAAGACCTTTAAACAACAATCAAGATCAGGTCTGAGGTCACCTGATCATGCGAGACTGGAACTGGCCAATCGAGTACGACCCAGAGTTCTGCAGCGCCACCTGTGTTGCCATGGAGAACTTCCACCCTCTGAGGAGAAAAATGGTAAACATGAAAGACCGTTTCACACATAAGAACCACGTGAGCCAGATGCTAAAGCTAACATGCTAACCTGTCAGCGATAGCTTTAGCCATGAAGTAATCCTCAGCGATGTACTGAGCGAAGGCAACCAATCCGCCGGCCTGATCCAACACGTCCTTCCTCATCAGACACGACATCCCCGTCACGCACTTTATCCCCGTCACATTAGCCGAGATGTAGGAGCGAGGGTGGGAGGTCCCGAAGTACACCTGGAAACAGGTTAGCAGTAGCATCTGTTAGCATTTATACACGTTAGCCGAGATGTAGGAGCGAGGGTGGGAGGTCCCGAAGTACACCTGGAAACAGGTTAGCAGTAGCATCTGTTAGCATGTATACATGTTAGCCTTACCTGTTCCAGAGTGGCTGCGAATCCTTGGCGGTCAGCAACATACGGCAACCCATGGACCAACCCCACCTTCTCTGTCATCTGATTGGTCAGATCTGTCAGGGTGTCTGGTTTCACTGCCACAGAGAGAGTTAGCGTTAGCATGGGTACTGAAGACAGTGACAGTGTGAGCCTGGTGGTGGCGCTCACCTCTGATGCCGCTGTCACAGATCCACACCAGGCCGTACTTGGCCGCCTCGTAGCCTGGCATCAGGTTGTTGATCTTGGGGTTGATTCCAACTTTCTTCCCCCCTGAGAACCACAGAGCAACACGTGCTAATGTTAGCCGCACATGTCATCTCAGGTGAATACTGATCAAGTCACATGACAGAACAGTCAGTAAACAACAACAACGTTTTCTCACCAATGAACAGTCGAGCGTCAACGTTCGGATATTTTCCCAACAACTTCTTACAGACGTCGACGGCTGGATCGTCCTGATCCTGAACGCACAGCAGGATCTCATACTGCAACACAAAGGGCCTGTTAGAGGGGCAACAGAGCAACCAGAGGGGCAACAGAGCAGACAGAGGGGCAACCAGAGGGGCAACAGAGCAGACAGAGGGGCGTTGGGCTGATAGCTGGGGTAGCAGGATGTAAAACTGGGGCAGGTTAAATGTCTGGGGCAGCTGGGCTCCACCAACTGGTTTACACTCAGTAACTACGTCAACATGAATGAACCCACCACCGCTGACTAGCAGTTCTAGTGACTCTGAACGCTCCACATTTCACTTCCTGTGCCGATGCTTCTTCTGCTTGTGTTCATATGTTTGTATTGGTTTTTCTTCTTGTGTCTGTATAGAACTGTTTCCTGCTCACACTTCTGCGACTTCGAAGGGGAGCGACTGTGACCAATAGGTTCTGGTTCTGTGTCAGTCAGTTGGCTGGAGCAGCACTGGGGCGGTAATTAGCAGGGCCGGGGCAGCTGGTCTCACCTTGGGGTAATCGAGGGTAAAAAACGTCTCCAGGTTGGAGATGAGGTTCGGGTCGACGCCTTTCAGAGGCTTCAGCAGAGAAACTCCAACCAGCTGCACGAACGGCTGCTTCACCTCCGACCTCTTCCTGTGGAGGTGGAGACGCCTGCAGGACAGA